GGCAGCATTTTGTTTTCCACATTTTTTCTATGTCTGCAAAGAGATGTGCATTATATTTTAGTCCGGTGTTGTGATATGCAAAATTAAGACATCCGAAGAATCAGTAAGCAAATACATTGATGCTTCACTTGAAAAGAATATGACGAGTTTTACAGAGTAAACAATTACACTATGAGTTAAGAAAAATTGTTCGTATTGTGTGTACTTGTACATATGAAAATGTGAAGAGATCCTATCTCAAAAATTTGGCATATATATTCTTATTTTTCCCGTTCTTCCCATGACGACTAGGAACGGGTAAATCAAAATTCACTTCAAATTACGGACCTCAACTTCTTGCTGCTCATGGTGTTTCACAAAAACTATTGGAAACAAATGGAGAAGTGGTGGAATGTGCAGAACCACATCCGATCAGTCCAGTGCGGCAGGAAGCTGCTGACGCCGGGTTGTTTCTCAATATCAGAGTGCAATAGCAGAAACAATTGGTCTAGCACACTTGCCTTTTGAAATTCTGGAACAGAACATGAACAATAACAGGACGGAAGATAACAAGAAGAGCCTGAAATATGTTCTTATCTCCTGCATTCCTAATTCAAGCACCTCCGTCTTCTTTCCATATCTGCTACTCCTCTCAACCAAGTACCCGTCAAGATACTCATCTATGGATACCCACTTGTCTAAGGTGGGCACAGAAGCCTTGGAATAATTTTCACCAAGCTGGTTTGGCCCCAATTTAAAAATTGTGAAAAATGCCGCAGACCATTCATTGAGAACTCTCTGAAAGCGAAAATTTTACACTGTTAAACATTAACTGTTGGTTCATTGAGACTCCATTTCATTAACTGTTGGTTCTGTATATGCTGAAACTTAAAAGATGAACCAAAAAACTAACATACATTGAAGGTACCAAAGTCAGTGGGATTGAACATTTTGAAGCAATCTCTTGATGATGCTGCTCCATCTCCATATATCTTAGTCAAAATGAAAAAGGATGCAGATTTGTCTTAGTCAAGTTTTCCTTGAGATCATAAATTTGAAGGAAAAAGAGGGATAATTTGACAAACCTCAAAGGTGAAAGCCATTGGCACCCTTACAATATCAAACATATAATCAGTTGATGTCCCGTGTGCCAGATACCTACAATTAAGCCGTATTAAAATTTAATGGAAAAACTTACAATAAGCATTTTAAAATAGTGAGCTTTAAATTCTTTAAACTCTGGCTCATGTTGAAGTGTAAAGATTAATGAGCCAACTAAACTACTTAAAATTTTAGACCCAGCAGGCCTTCAGCCTTGCAGTCCAACTACTACTATGCCCTCACGAGTGCCAAATTTCCTCTGTAAAACCCTCTAGACCTCATCCTCCAGCACAATTCAATTGGTTATTGAGGCTAGCATCCCCGCCATGTAATCAATCATATTTGGCAAGCAAAAAACAGAAGATATCATTGGTAATAATAACAACGAACAGCTGAACAAAAATAGTGACTGTTGGTAATACTAACCCAACAGAACCTCCACCAGACCCAATCATGCAACGCCTTTGGCAATGCAGATGGTTGAGTTCCTCAAGCAATGACTTCATCTGGTGCGAGGAAACTCCATCAGGGGTTGTGTTCTTATGGTCATATGGCATAAATAGAGCCTAAAAAAACAGAAGCTATATAAGAAATGTGCCATATGCAGAGTACACAAACCCTAAAATAAAAATTAAACAAAAATTAAGGGTCACTACAATGGTAATTGGTAAAAGAATATAAAAAAGTATACACTGTAAGTGACAAAATCGTAGGTGACATTGCTACTTTTGTAAAACAGAAGTGCTTTAATCAGAAATTTCCAGAAATTGTGAATATGATTTCGGAGTCAACAGTAGGGAATAATAACTGAAAGTTTGTCTGATGTACCTCCATTCCAGAGTGTATATTAACCCATATGTGTGGATCAAATGACATGGCAACTTTCCGCATTATCTGAGTTTCAGGTTCGCTGAAAGGAGCAGTTCCAGGATTTTCCTCATATGGATCATAATCCTGTAGTAGAAAAACAATATAAAAATGAAAGAAGAGTCTTAAGCACAAAATAGCACAAGAAACAAAATGACAGTTGAATATTTAATTTAAAGAGAGAAAGCAGGAAAAACAATGAATGAGACTACAGCTTCATCTAATGATGTGTTATATATTACGTGCACTGCTATAAATGGTAAACAAGGTCCACCTCAAGAAAACAATTAAAAGATGAAATAAACAAGCAACATGATATATGCGGTATAGCATGAATAAGAAAATAAGACTAGCATCAAATGAACAAGCGTGATTAACCTTCTCCTTTTTGCCCCAATCTACGCTCCAATTACGGTTGAGATCAACTCCTCTCCCTGTCACAAGATGCAAACTTAAACACAATATACATACATACATACATACATATGGGGTATTCACACACTCACACACACACACACACATACATACATAATACATGCTAGAACAATATTCACACGTGAGTGCAGAAAGTTGGTCTAGGAACAGGAGTAAAAGTACGGACTACTGGAAAATGGGGTAATTTATACAATTGTCATGCTATCCTTGCTTTTAAAATCTATTATTAGTTCCGTTTAAATAATAGGGGAACATTTGATATTGCATATATGTTGATTGACAAAGAGGATTCTATTTATAATAGAGTGTGTGTATAAATAAGTATATTTCAAAATCCACAAAATCAACTGCTTTACCATTTCTCCTCTCACAGAGATCTCCTGCTTCAACAATTCTGCGGCCATTTATGTTTTCCATAGGAACCATCTGACATAAAATTAGATATCAGAACTCAAAAAATACCAAAGTTCTTCAAGTATCTCCGATGAAATAGCTCATCAGAATTGAAGAGGAAAGTATTTCAAGCCCTGGGGCATCAGGTTCTAATGATGAGTACTATAGATCAAGTGTACCAGTTGTAAACCCCCTAACAAATAATATAAACTTCTCTCAATACATGCAGAAGGATCCACGAGAAACATGGAAACAAATCATCTCCATATAAGGAGTTGCCAACTTGTAAGTTTGAGCTCATATACTCACACTAGAGGTAAACCGCAGAGGGCATAAAAATATTGCTCATAATTTCTGAAGAAATGCCAGATAGATTGAAGTCAAAGCCAGATACTTGAAGTGGAAGAAGATGAAGATATGCGAAGGAGGTGCCTATCCATTATTTCAAATTCTAGTGACCCTAATATTTCTAGCTCATGTTGTAGTATGCTGCTTAGATGGATGAAGCAAAAGCAGAAGCGTTTACATAAACAGTTGACATCATCTGGTAAAAGCAAATTGCATCTACATTAATAATTATTAGGGAAAG